TTTTAGGTCCTGGAACGAAATCAATCTGATGTTCGATCCCTCGAATAGGAGGCAATCCCTTGGGTGCTTCCTCCGAAAAGACATCATCGAACTCCTCCAATACGACTCGTACCTCGGCTGGAAATTCTTGGAATAGCTCTTGATTGAGTAGCACGTCTCTATACATGATAATAATAAATGGTTCTCGTGCATAGGAAGTTTGCTTCATGTCACCACTTCGTGCTAGCATCACTGCCTTCGACTCCACAATTAGTCCATTCTTCTCTTTTCTTGGCCGAGGCATTACCTGCCTTTTCCTGCTCTCGACATTGCTTCATTTGGATTTGATCTCGATAGACTTCACTGGGAGACAAAGGCTTCAACACGAATTTTTATCCTCCATGTTGTAATTTTTACTTGTTAGTCACTCCATCATGTTGTGCTTGTCGATCGAACTGCCATGGTCGGCCAAGAAGCATATGCGCAGCTTGCATAGGCACTTCATCAATGCCTGCTTCGTGACTTTGATGGATTCATGGTCATTATGCCATTGCAACATATGTGGCTTTGGATGCTTCAACGTGGGTATCCCTAGCCTCTTCACTGTGCACTCACTACGTTTGTGCAACTCCCTCCATCGATCACTAGGGACAAAAACTTTCCATCGACCACGCATCTAGAGTGAATGAGGTTTTCTCGCTGTTAACTCTCCTCCTTAGGCTGTGCAGTCATCACCCTCCTTGCTACAAACAAACTGCCCGGAGGTGCTTCCATCTTAATGGACTCATTAATATCAGAATCGGTGGTTTCCCAAACTTCTTCTTCAGAAACATACTCACCATTTTCGAGAAAAATCTCTTGTTAGGGCATTGGCTCGCAATATGCCCTCTTACATGGCATTTAAAACACTGAATTTCCCCCGATGATCCACCTTGCTTCACTGGATTCGCACCATCAGCCCTTGTTGCTGGTCTTGGAGTTTCTTTCATGGGCATTTGCGGCTTAGGGTTGGTTGCAACCCCCTGGTTAGATTGTGTAGAATTCATGGAGGGTTGAAACCTCCTACTTCGTAACTGCGTTCCACCTTGCTGGCCATATCCATCAAATCTTCAAGCTCGAGGAACGGTTGTATTTCCACCACATTCTTGATCTCATGATTGAGACCATACAGAAAACGAGCTATGGTAGCCTCGCGATCCTCTCTCACATTAGCACGTATCATCAACACTTCCATCTCCTTGTGGTAATCATCAACGCTTTTAGTTCCTTGTCGTAGAAGCTGAAGGTTTTGATACATATCTCTCAAATGGGAATTCAGTACAAACCGATCCCTCAAGATACCCTTCATCTCGTCCCATGTTTCAATAGGACGCTGCCTGTTTCGCCTTCTTCTCGTACCCAACTGATCCCACCAAACAAGCGCGTAATTCGAGAACTCTAGGGCAGCCAACGTCACTTTCTTCTTTTCGGAGTAATTGTGACAGTCGAATACCAATTCCATCTTTCGCTCCAAATCCAAATAGGCATCAGAGTTTGTGGTACCGCGAAAGGGTGGAATTGTGACCTTGAGGTTTCGCAGATCATCATCTTCCTCAAAGCCCTCCTCGTCCTCTTCCTCAATTTCCTCAAAATTTTCTTCTTCACGATGCTGCTGCCGCCCTCTTCTTTCACATTGAGGCATCCCAAAACGTCTATGTTGGCGCATATGATGCTGTAATTCGTGAACCAAGGATGGAGGAGCTCGGTTTTACCTTCCCCATTCTTCTTGTCGAGGTCTAGGGTTATGGTTTGGGTTTACCTCAGCAACAACCGGCTGCTGGAGTCTTGCTTCCACCGCTGCCATCCTCGTTGCTTGCTCAGCAAGCCTCGTCGTTTGCTCTTCTTGAGCTCTAGCGATATTCTCCAGCTGGGTCGTGATCTCTCGTAAGGCTTCATCCATGCTTGAGGCTCAAGAAATTAAAGACACTCCAAGAATTAGTCACCCTTCTGTCTTGCGGCTCAAGAACACGCCAAGACCTTCAAGAACTCGCACAAAACCACCAAGAACACAAACAAGAATGCACAAGATCTTCAAACAATTTGAAGAACACGCCACTGATTTGAACCTTAGCTCTGATACCATTTGATACAATCAAAGTTGCACAGCTCCAAGCAATTCGAACCAAATAAAAGAACCAGGATAAAGGTGGAATCAACTGGACATAATTCACTCGTGAAAAGGGGCGATCGATATAGGAATCGATCGGACAATCTCAACCGAAATCAAGGGCAGTTGATATGGGTAGCTCGCCACAACTAGGGTGAATACCTAGCTGATAAGAGTCGCTCTAACACTCCGGAATTCTCAATAGAGTAATTAAGGCAAAAGTTCTCAAGGAACTCGGCAAAAGCCTTCAAATTAATCAATAGGGTTTCTAACACTTAAACCAACGTGTTCAGCCCCTTTAAATAGGCAAATACAATCCAAATCCGAATCCAACAAGGAACAATAATAAACCGACTTTAAAACAAAGGAAACCCCAAAATAGTCTAGGAAACCCGTTAAGCACAAACCATTAAGGCTCCTTCTTGCAATCTACCTTCTCTTCGGCACTTCATTCTTATTCCTCCACTCAAATCATCATATATGGCTTCCCTCGAAACAACTCCACGTCCATGGCTTCAAAGTAGCTCTCCAAATACGTCGCAAGCTTCTCGTTCAACGTTCTTGCCTTCATCAGAGGTAGTCGACGAGGGAGATATGTGGCAGAGCCGATTCCTTTTGCCCCACTACTCCACTTGTAACTCTGAACTTGTTTTTCTTATTTTTCTTTCTTTTATGTGTTTGTGACTGTAAACTACTACTACTATCGTATCGTGTTGTGTAATAACCTAGCCTTGAGCGAGTCGTATTGTGTTTGTGTATGTGTGTTTTTTTCTTCTCCTTGAAGCTCCAAACCTCCTACCCCGGAAACAATTCCAACTTTCACTCACCAAGCAAAGCGGTATAATCGTTCTACCCCTATCTTACGTCATTGAGGGCAATGTCGAGCTTAAATGTGGGGGGGGGGGGGTAGTTTATTAGTATGCTTGGGTGAGTGTGATTGATGCTTGGAGCCTTGATGTTTGCCCAAATTTGAAATTTTGGGCTCCAAGCAATGTTTGCATGATCAAAGTGGCCGATTTGTGGGAGAATTTCGTGTCTATTGGCTTTAACCTTGAATTGTTGCATGTGATTGAGTATGTCTTATGATGATGACCGAGAGGTCCATTAGGGCAGTGCAAAGGTTTAGTTCTCATGTGTGCGGTTCTTGCTAGGAATGAAAAAAAGGAAGTGTAGTGTTGGAGTGAGTTCTTAAGAAGAGAGCAGTGGTCGTTAAATGTGAAGGTGACAAGTGTTTTACTCCCCTCTAAGTAATAGTTCAATCGAGCAACTTGGCCATGCAAATATTACAAACACCCTCTAAACTATGTTAATTCTACATTTAACTCCAACATCCCTCTCATTCTGTAGCATGAATATCAAAGAGTGTCCAGTTTGAACTTGAGAGCTGCAAAAACCACGGTGGGCAAAGACTTAGGGTCGTTTGGAGAATAGGATTTGAATGATGGATTTATTGAATCCATAGATTTGGCAAAATGTTATGTTTTTTTGCTATTTTTTGTATCGTGGATTGTAGGTTTAGAGATTTTAAATCTCTAAAATCTAGAGATATCAAAGTTCTCCTAATTAGAGAGATTCTACATTTTGATTTTAGAGATTTTCTCTCTCTTACTCTATCTCATCCTTTTTTTAATTTATCCCACTAAATATCCTTATTGATAAATTTTTCAATATTTTTTTAGCCAATTTAATTATTTTGGTTAAGGATACATGTCATTTTATAAACAAATATAATTTCTTTTTTTATTGTATGTTAACAATCGCAGTTATCAAACAATGAACATTTTCAAATCTTTTTTCAACAGTCTGGAGAGTTCAAATCTTTGGATTGTTTAAAATCTAGAGATTTAGACTCTAATTCTCCAAACAAGCCCTTAGTGTTTGCTTGTTAGAAGTGCCAAATTGTAATTAACATGTGTTAGGGTTAGTGGCGGCTAGTATATTTGTTGAGTGGCCATGATTATAAGGGTAACAAAGATAATAATAAAATTTCTGTTGTTGTCTAAACGATTATCGTTGGAAAAACCACTTTGTGTCTCTTGGTCGTTTGTGTAGTTCTTCGTGTGTTTGACATGGTATCAGAGTCTCGGGTATCTTGATGATTCCTACTCTGCTACTATTCTTGTTTGCGTATTTGGATTCCTTGAAGTCCTGCTTGTCTATTGGGGACTTCATTTGCGGCTCTCATTTTTTGGGCTTTGGTGTATTTATATTATTTTTATGGATGTGCATTTTGGTTTTTTTTAACCCAATTCGATACATTTATAAATATAACTAACTCTAATTGCATATTCTTATGTGAGGTGTACTATGACATTATAATTATATTTAGTACAATGCTTAGGTTGTAGAAATTTTAATTAAATGTTCTAGAAGTGAAATGTATGTGTGAGATTCACTTCTTTAGAGTGCATTTTTTTCTTCCAAATATGTCTACCTTTTCTATATTTGAGTTTGGATAACTTCAAGTATTTCTACTTATTTGTATGGTGTCAAAGAACATTCAAATACATTGAACATGCAAACAAAAACGGTCACATTTTTTCCCCAATCAATGTTGTTGCAAATACAACCTGCCAAACAACCTGTCACGTCGTATCTATGGAAAAACTGAAAACTAGAAATCAAAATAAAACTATCTAGTATGTTTTACTCTTTGGAAAAAAATAATTTTGGAAAATACAAGTATAGGCTTATTTACTTTTCTTTGTTTTTCTGGAACTTTGATTTACTTTCCCAATCCTTTAATTACAATTCATTATTTTTCAAAAGGACCTTACAAGTACTCCTCCCTTTGTGGCCTTACGAGTCCTATATATACGTTGGTAAACGCGTAGAAAAAACTATCATTTGAAATCAACAAATTCACCGATTAGTTGCAGTTCCAGATAATCAACTTTGGCTTACTCTTCAAATTAAAAATTGACAGAAGATGAAGACCATAGCCGTTCCTGTTCTCTTGATGATGGTTCTCCTCGTCATTAGTGCTTACGGTAAAACTCTGCTTACTCTTGTTCTTGTATATAATATAAATCGTGTAAAGCCTTGCAGGCTTTGGGTACTAATAATAATCACTTGACTTTATTTTTTTATTAGGAAGGGAGCTGACTGCCGGCGGGGATCCAAAGTTTTGCTTGATAGGAACTATACCTGCTGGAGCTCAGTGTCTACTTGAGAATTGTATTTTCTTATGTGCTAATAAATTTGGGGGAGCTACAGAAGGAAAATGTATTAAAAATTCTATATGTCAATGTTACTGGTTCTGTTGATATAAAGTTTTGTTCAAGATAAGATCAAATAATAAATGATAAACGTTTGAATTTGAGTTTATTTATATCGACGGTCTTTTTGGTTGTAGCGAGGAAATCAGTGAAACAAAAAGTACTATGTTCCGTTTTCCTGTAGACGATAATTCATTTTCATTAAACTCTCCAATTCAATGTCAAGGCATCTCGATCAACGGTCTTTGTGTTTCTTGGAGCTAGGTAATTGGAAGAAACTATGCAAATAACGAGTTTTGGTGACACCAACCAGGAATGGAGCAGGGGGGCATGGCCCTCCTTAAATTATTATAAGCTGACTTTGCACCAACACATAACTACCCAAGCTGTTGTCTAGTTGTGTGTGGCTTTGATTTTAAAAGGGGATGATAAAGCCATAAAGGTTCGATGGCTGGAACATGCACTTTGAATTTTGTAAAATTTTACTTCCTAACCTCAAATTTTGCATGTCTTACAAATTGATACCTAACTTTTCATTTTGACACATCTTTTTTGTCCATTGTCTTACGATTTGGTGCCTATAATTTGCATGAACGTTTAACTTCATGTTATTTTGCTTCTTAATACCAAGTTAATAAGAAAATTTTGCTTCCTAATCTCAAATTTTGCATGCCTTAAAATTTGGTATCTAACCTTTCATTTTGGTATCTTTTGCCCATTCTCTTACAATTAGGTACCTAAAATTTGCATGAATGTTTAAATTCATGACATTTTGCTTCTTAATCCCAAGTTATGCATGTATTACGATTTGGTACCAAACATTTTCATTTTAGTACACCTTTTGTCCCAAATTTCGCATGCCTTACGATTTGGTACATAAGTTTTCTATTTGGTATTATTTTTGCTCATTGTCTTCCATTGTATCGGACTTTCTCATCCCAACCTTTTTATACAAAGCTCTTCTACTAGTTAAAAATAGGCTTCTATATGTAAATATTTTGGTAATTTGTGTTGAACGATAAATAGCATAATAAATTCATACTTCAAAAAATTTTATCGGCCTCCCCTTATCTAAATTTCTGGCTCCGTCCCTGACACCAACAAGGCTAGAAAGCAATGAACCTAACAAAAAGGAGTGTTTGCCAATTAAGGATGAACCCATGTGTATGCCTAGATTGTAGCATTGGGTGAGATGGTTGCACCCTTTGTTGCCAACCTGATCCCAGATGACCTGTTTTCAAGATCGGTTGTTTTATTCATTGGAATAATGTCCTCCTATCAATCAGTTTATCTATCATAAAAGGGCTTTAAAAAGCAGAAATCTAAGACGAGGTTTATGATAGTTTCACATATGAAGAGACACATAATATCCCACAATAAGGTTGTTTGCTTTGATTTACTCCATTCGATTCTCTTAAAACATATTTCTATATGTGATGTCTCGTCTGCAGTAGGAAAAATAAACTCATCTCTCCCTTGAAAAGGTGGAAGGTGTGCATCTCCGTCCTCCACTTCTCTACCAAAACCATAAGGATATTTTTGTAAAGCTCCATTCCCACCAAGAACGGCACCCTCACAAATAGGAGAAAAATTCAAAAGTACCACTGTTTAAAAAAATATTTTCAAAAAATACCACCCAACCCCAAAAAATCCAAAAATACCAAGAATCGCACCCTCACAAATAGGGAAAAAATCAAAAAGTGCCACTGTTTAAAAAGATATTTCCAAAAATACCACCAAACCCCAAAAAATTTCAAAAATACAACCCTTTTTCAAAAACTACCACTCCACCCTGCGGTTTACACGAAAACCGCTGGATGGGTGAGCGGTTTTCGATGCAAACCGCTGGGCGAACGGGCGGTTATAAAAACCGCTGCCCACCCAGCGGTTTGGTCCAAAAAAAAAATTTCGATCAACTCGTAACTTCGGCTGAAACTTCAAACGAACGTAACTTTGCACTCGGGTATCCGATCGTAGCGATTTTATTTTAATCCGAATAAATTTTTGAGATCTTGCAAACCGCAAACACCGTAGGCGGTTTGGTCCCTAGAATTTTTATTTTTATAGATATCGACGAAGGGTTGGAGTGCGAACGAGAATTCTTTTTTTAACATGGTCAGTCTGGTCCAGACCGTACCGGACCGTATAGTATATGTTTTGTAATATAACCCTGGAGGGTTGGATTTTTATCAGAGTCACGCAGCAAATAATCAATCCGAAGATTGATTGAACTCGAATTAAGAACAACGCGTTCTTAATACGAAAATTGGTTAAAAAGGAACCAATAGACAATTCCACACCTGGGGAAAGCTCGTATGGTATAAAAGGGTAGTTGCTCGACAACGATTGAAGAGAATATTCAATCTATACAAAGCTCACAAGTTTGGAATCCACCAAACTCAAACAAGTGGTAACTTGCACAAAACCAAAAGGTTTGTTTTTCGATTAATCAAAGTCTTCTCTTTTTACAACGTAAATAGAACGGTATTTAAAGGAAAATAAAACCTAATACAATCCTAATAGAACTAGACAACAACTAAGGTAAAATTCTACACTAAAAAGGACACAAAATTCGAGTTTTAACTCCCTTTCTTGAAGCACAAATAAGCTGCCAGCAAACAGTAAAAAAGCAGCTTTCGTACTAACTTCGTGCTCTTCGTTCGAAGCCTTCCCGAACTCCAATCCTTCATCCAATTCCTTCCCTTTGTACATAGATATACCTAGTTTCATGTTGTGGAAGCCTTTGGACTTGAATCAGATCCATACTCATCGAATTATGCTCCAAAGTAGGCTTCACAAAACAGTTTCCAGTTTTGAGGTAGCAACTTTGAGGCCTTGGAAAACAACTTCAATGACATCATCTGGATCCAAAAAGTATACTATTGGAAACATGGAAACTTTATCTGTAAAATAAGCCCTTGGTCTCCAATTTTCATTAAGCCATTTGTGATATACAAACTTCCAAAGTAGGCTACTGAAACTGTTTCAACACTTAGCCAAAAATCAGAATTCTTCATGTTAGTTGAGATGACTTCTTTGGCAAGTAATTATGAATTGTGGATTGATCCAATTGGGATCATATCAGTCTGGTCCATGGTCTGTGTTCCAACCTCTCGGTCTGGACCACAGACCGTATCTATTGTATGGTCTGGACCGGACCGCACCGATTCCCACCCCTAAGTCAGAACAAACAGACAGTGCAGCGTCTAACCACTCGGACTACGCCGTGCTTCTTGCTACATTATTTTCTTAGATACATTTTACTGTAAAGTAAGATTAATACTCAAAATTTACATCAATCGATCGTGTTAATACTTTTTGCATTAGCCAAGTTAGATTACTTCTAGGTATTTCAAATTGTTAAAACCTTGATTACAGTTGGCTTCATTTTACATACACATATTTATTTTACTTAGAGATTTCCCTAATACGAAATCATGGTCAATAGGCTGTGATAGTCGTTCTCGATGAAATTCTCCCAAAGGGAATCTAACATTCAATCACAAAATTGAAAAATCATAAATCCATTTCCTAACAACTCAAATTATCTTAATGCGATCAATAGAACGTGTTTAGGATCACTTCAAAATCTACCAATTTCAATCGAACTACGTGGACTTTGATCCCGACTACTCGGGTACGTAGGCAACCAATAGGTTCGAGTCCGATTAACCAAAAACTCTTTCTTTACTTTTGAACACTACGTCAATAGGCGTATGATCAATTTTAAATCATAAAACCTAATTAATTAAATACGCAAATAAGGTGCAAATAACAAAACACCCAACCCTTAAAAAGGCTTATCGATTTAGGTAGTACCAATTATGGGCGTTGTGGGGTGTGAATACACTTCCCCACATGTAACTGTACTCCCGAACACAAATCTCTAATTTTCGCAGACCAAATCCCGGTTTTGACCCTAAGGTTGAGACTGGATAAAAAGGTGTTCGATCCACCATAATATAAGGTCGATGGCGAATCCGAGCATCACGCGACGGGTACCCCGATTTCGAGGGGCGGTTGCGTCAAAACCTCCAGACTATAGTTCTTGAAAGTGTTTGGTTGTTTGGCTTATGCCACAGTTCTAGATGAACATAAGAGAAAATTTTCAGAAAGAGCAAGAAAGACAGTTTTTGTAGGTTATCCTTATGGATTCAAAGGATTCAAGTTATATGACCTTGAGCAGGATACTGTTTTTGTTAGCAGAGATGTTGAGTTTGTAGAAAACATCTTTCCATTGTTACACACGTCATATACACAAACTCCTTCTCAAAATCAAAACCATCAAGACTTTCACATTTTTTATTCCAATATCTCTGATTCTATTCTCCCTCCAGATCACAATGTTCATGAAACTAATGATCAAGATTACTTTCCTCATGACTCTGATGATGAATCTATTTCTTCTTCTCCTCATCCTTCTCTAAACACACCTTCTACTTCTGGATCAATCCCTCTCATGTTCTTACTCCTGATTACTTCCCATTGCCTTGAGAAAACCTTCTAGAACATATAAACAACCAGCTTACTTGCAAGACTTCATACAAGCTTCTTTTCAAAAGGAACTCCAGGAGATTATGATTCTAAACTCATGTATCCTCTTCCAAGCTAACTAGATTATTCTTCACTGTCACCCAACCACAAACACTTTACTCTTTCCATATCCCTTGCACCTGATCCACAAACATACTCATAAGCCATAATGGAAAGATGTTGGAAGAAGTTTGGAAACGGAGTGAAGCAACGACCAAAAAGAGAGAGAGAGTGAGAAAGTAGAGAGAGGAAAAGCTCTCTCCTTGTTTTCTCGTTGGTTTCTGGATGACCGTTGGGGGTGTGCCTCCCGAAGAGGAGGCAAACCATTGTTTGAAGCCGCCGGATGGATCCCCGTCGCTAACGCCGATCCAACCAAGCAAGAAGGTGACGGCCAGTACGAGCCGAGATTTCTCGGGGGAGGGAGGAATGGAGATTGCAATCGTCACAGCTAGAGCTGGAGAGCAACACTAGGGCAAGGATGTGGAAATGGAATTAGCTGCTACATGAGAGGTAGGGCAACCCCCAAATCTGTCGCCGATCAGCAACGAGGAGGGGAGAATGAAAGTCTCCTACAAGGTTTCG